AAGAAGAAGAAAAAAAAGCTAGTAATATAATATTTGTATGTCACAATTTGCTTGGTATAACAAAGTTTAACATAGAACTATAGCCTTATTAGTCTCACTAAAAACCATAGCACATATTGGCCTGTTATTATGTAAGTTATAAACCAAAGATGAAACGCAGTTGTTTTCAAAGATGTAGCTGAATTCTGCAATTGTTTCAACTCAACCAGAAACAATCTCATTCTTTTCTTACTCCTTTCCTGTCCTTTCTTATGACAGCGATGAGACTTAAGAATCTTTGCCCTATACTTACCTGAAAATGTCTACTCTCTTGAACTGTTGCTGAGCTAGTCACAGAGATGATGAGGGCTCTCATAAGACAGAAAGTTATTCCTTTTGCTAAAGACAATTTGACTGTAATTAGAAATGAGATGTGGGTGGTCATTTTTAGAAAGTCTTTGCTTACTGTCTGTCAACGTTACCCTGACTTGTATGAGATGGCAGTACAGAGCAAGGCACAAAAGAGCAGCCTGTGCAAGCAGATGTGCAGGTGAATGATTAAGCTTGACAAAAACCAAGGAGAACAGAGGCAGACTGTTGAATTTATTGTTGTTATTGTCACTGTGGTTTCTGATCTCCTCCTCATCGCAAAGTCATCCTCTCACAGTAGTTTAAAAGGCCTGATAAGTAACATCACATCCATTCACATATTTCCTCTGCTTAGTCTTCCTTTCAAAATTACTTTTCCTGTGTAACGTAGCCATGTTATTACCATTCATTTATGATGTGACTGTGATGAGAGTCTCATCCTGGACAGTGTGGCCCACACTCTGGCAAATCTTCAGATCCTCTCTCAGCACTCGGGTTTGCTTCAATTTACTTGCATTGCTGACTTCTCCTAACACTTGTATTTCTGATAGCATTCCAAATTTATGCTGTCTACTGTAAATGAGATGTGTGCAGCACAGGAAGCTAATGTCTAACAAATGCCTTTTTACAGTTGAGCTTTATCTACCATTTTGAGCTCCATAGGAGACAAGATAAATCATGTATAGGCATACCACATTCATGCATTAGGCTGCATTATTAAATCAAAAAGTCTAAGAAAGCTAGGCTTCCTTTATAATCCTATGAAAGTGTCTACAAAAGTTAACTGTATTCATTTGCTCACATTTGTAACCTCTGCAACTGCCTATGAATCTGGACACAGATGGAAACAGGTGGACAGAATTTAGAATTTGCCTCCTATTGGTAAAGAATCTTGTGTTTCTAATTGTGAATAAGCATTTGTTGCTTACCTGTGCTTTCCACCCTCTGCTCCTTATTCTTTTATCCTCACTCCTCTCCCTCAAACCTCTTCCAAATTAATTATCCTCTGTGCCCTGAGAAACTCCTGCTGATGAATACCAGGCTCATGCAAATTATACAGGAGACGACTGAAGAATGATTATGTTCCCTGTAAGGCATATTTAATTGGAAACTGCACGAATCAAGAGTTGTTCAGTTCACTATACTCTCCTCCCAAGTCAAACCAATAATTTAGCACACTACTGCAAACGAGCATGAGTGACTGATCAATTAAAACAACTCTGGAATGTGCTGGATTTGCACAGTGGTGCCCATAATTAGATCAGACATCGACTCTGAATTCGATTAATATCTTAACAAATGATAGTTTTCAATTATAAGAAAAGCAAAAATTCAGTGCTTTTAATTAAGTGTCTCCAATACTACTATGCACTTAGGGTGATCTTTGTCCATTAAGTTTATAACAAAATCTAAACACATATAACTGTAAGGTGATCTCTTCCAATAGCAGAATTTAAACTTGATTTTCAGCAAAACAGACACAAGTTTCCCTCACGCACAAAGCACGTGTTTCATCAGATCCTGCAATATACAGTTCCCTAGCATAATGCCCAGGGAACTGCCTGGAGGCAGCCCGTGATAATGTCTAATGATGCATCTCTCAGCACTGAGCACCATAAAGCAAGCTAGACTGGGCACACAAAATCTGAGCTGGATGGCCTTGTGTAGGGGCAGCCTGTTACATGACTTTTATTTACCTCTCTGCCACTGATGTAACTGCTGTGGAGTAATATCCCTGACATGTTTGTTGTTGTTGTTTTTCCACTAAGTGGGTATCTTCATTTATATCTTACTTATATTTGATGATAAATAAAACTCTGTGAAAGCCAAAGCAAATGAATGAAATAAAACCAGACTATAGCTAGGAAATCTGCTGTGCAAGATTCTGTAGCTGCTGCAAATGCTGCTAGAAGCAACTGTCCTATCAACAGGGGGATCCTGCAGGAAGAGACTGTGTAAGAAATTGAGAGTTTGCTGTAGGTAATCACCCAAACTTCAGCAGCAGGATAAACAGTGGATGGAAAAAAACATATTACAGAACTTCAGTTCAAAATGTCAGTGCAAATACCCTTGTCCTTCTATTTCCATACATAAATTATTATTCTACTGTGGTAATGAGCATGTCTGGCTGAAGGGATCTGGTAAGGATCCTAAGCAAACGAATAAAGACTTCCACTCATCGACAATTTTATCTTTTTCACTAAAACTCACCAAATGAAACAACAGCTTACTCCAAAATGAACATGTAAGGTATGTGCAAGAAGCTGTCTGTGCATTATGAGCAATATCATAAACCCACTTAGTAGGAAAGTACATACATTTTCTTATGCTAAATTTACTCCATTGTTTCTGTGTATACAGGAAACCTTTGAAAATTGAATTTTAGAGGAAAAATTTCTCAGGTCTACGGACTGCTAAGCTTTGTAAACATATTACAGATGAGTCTCCTTCAAATTTGAACAAGGATTATACATCGAAAGCTATAGAAAATGGATAGTTCTGAACAGGTTTCACAACCAGAAATACAGACACATGGACACTCTATTTATGCTGGTTTATATTGCTGCTCCTTGATAATTCTCTTATTTTCTTCAGATGAAGGTACATTATCACATAAACTCAAAAGTGCTGATGTAATGACGAGATGCAGTCCTGGGATTGCTCTGAATACAACACTGTATTTAAAAACTTGTGTTTTCCAGCTCTCTCCTTGCTTAGTGTAATAAATCTGGGTGTGTGTGTAAGTGCAACCAAGGGCTGAAATGATTCAGTCAAATGCAATCATTAAGCCATTTTTTTTATTATTATTAAATTTTCGCTTTCAACTACTGGCTTTTCAGCTCCAAGCCATTCATGCTGTAACAAAGACATGCAGCTCATTACCTTTTCCCCCTTCCCCTTGTGCTGTTGGGCAGTTTGTTCAGAGTATTATGTTTATAGCACCCATACATACGTGTCATAGACATTCAGCAGCCAGTTGAGGCACATGTCCACACAGAGAGGAACATTGACCAGGTTATTGTGCTCTTGTTCTAGTCGATCATAAATGGTGGTCAAGCAGTTAATGATCTGTAGAATATCCATTGGCTGGTCATTTTGTTTGAGGTTGTGCTGGTCCAAGGCATCACAGGCAGCAGACAGACTCAGGAGATCCACTGTTTAAATAAATAAATAAATAAATCACAAGAAAGAGTGCAGAGCCAGAGCAGTTATATTACCTGCACCTAAACACTAAATATAGTTAGAGCAAGCTGCTTGGCTTGCACACCTGGCCACCCCCATTACATGCACTCTAAAAGTCACTCGCAAGAATGGCTTCAAGCCTCCTAGGGGCACAGTGTTTGTTCAGCTGCAGTCTCAGGCAGCAATGTTTATAAATCAAAGAAATGCTTCATTTTCAGCTGTAAAGTACTCATCAGGCTACTAGGTTCTACGGAAATATTACTTAAGTTACTACATAAGTAAAAATTAAGTATTTCATGTTTTATACGCCTACAGATAGGCTCATATTTGACCACTGCAGTCATGGTACATGCCCTACGCATAGCACATGCCATCAACTCTTATGAGAAGTGCCATTCATTTCTACCAGAAGTCAAGTAATCTTAACTGAGCCAAATTCCACAAGGAATATGCAAACAAATCTCAACGAACTGGGATTAACCTCTCTGTTGCTCTTTCTCTGCTGAGAACAGCATAGAGAAGATTCGAGGAATGTTGAATGATCTATGATTTATTTTTAAATTCAGAGAGCATTCACATTTAGGAATAACTCTGTAGCATTATGGCAAGTCAAATTTAAAACTTTTTAGTTGATATACAACAGAGTTTTCTGTCATAGGTATTTAAAATGTTGATTTTCATCCTAAAACAAGTCAGAAATATTTTGAAAGCTGGATGTCCATGGCAAAACAGAACTTCCCTTAACCAACTCTGTAGTTATTCTTACTCTGTGCATAGAAACCCTACTACCACCAGAGAACTTCGCTCGGCTGTTCCCAACAGCAGTACCACACTTTAAAAGAGACCAAATCAGAGAGTTATAAGACGTTGGTTTATAAAGTAAAACTGGAATAAAAAGAAAACAGAAAAATAAGACTATCTGTACAGCTCTTCCTGCTGCCGCATGTAAACCCTGCAGAGTTGGCTCCACAGAATTTCCAGGAGGTGAGTGATGGGGAGACGGAATGCCCACATGCTGTTGGAATAACTTTGGAATAAAAATGTGCTTTATTGGATTCTGGCAAGCAACATCTCTTGGTAATGTCACCGATATCAGCAGAGGCTAAATGCAGAACCAACCCAGGGAGTTTTCAGAAGCGTGACCAGCGAAAGGGCACATTTGCCAAATCCATACTCCAGTTCCCTAGAACATTACCAAGAATTAAATTGCCCCTTTGTGTCCTAACAGAGAATAAAAAACACTTCGGGAGCGCACTCAGCTGCAGGATAATAGCGCATGGCACTTTGCTGGGATTTCACAAGCTCCAAAAGAATTTTAGGAATACAAATTTCATTGAAAATCATTAGGGACTTCTGCCAACAAATCCCTTAAGCACTTCTGAAAAATCTCATCCTATGTGCCCAAAAATCCCACTGCAAGAGCAAAAAAGGAAATCCCGGAGTGCTATCCCTATTATTATATCATGAAATTTAACTTAGTATGTGTTGTTTAGTGGAGGGTTTTAACAGAATTTTACTTTTCCTCATCAGCATATGGATAGATATTTTAAAAGCTTATTTATGAATATTATTTAATTTACTATTACATCTAACATGAGCATGCTTATCAATGTCATTGCAAAGTGCCACAGAACAACACTCCTCTTCTAATACCAATTTATTAGCCACATCCAGAAAGCAGCAGTGCCTTCCCAACACCTTTTAACTCAGAGCTTTAGGTTGAGCTCTCAGCTCCTGTGAGAGGATGACTCAATGGCAATTAAATAGATCCCTCTGGCATCTGGATGGCAGCTTAATTACACACCCAACTAGAGCTAAACATGGGTCATTCCACCCTGAGAGCTTTTCACACAACTTAGCAGCATCTTCTGAAAAGCCTTTAACCCTGCTCTTCATCAGCCTGCTGTCCTATCTTGAAATTACTGATACATATTCATCTACCACACGATGCCACCAAGTTCTGCTTTAGGGAACTTCTGTTCAGGGCAAGGAGAGGGGCTTTGGACTTCACCAAATTCAGTTCCTCCTGAATCTTCACCATAAAGGTAAAAGGAACTGGGGTCCCCTCCCAGCACCAGGAATAGTATTATTTATTTCCTAGAAACACATAGAGAGCTTCCATGAATGACTACCTCTTGAAAAAGATACCCAGTCAGCTATATATTAAGGAATTGTAAATTCAGAGCACCAGGGATTTGTAAAGCTGTAATTAAAATAACCTATACCACTCTATCCTCTGTACTTTCTGTAGGTTCTTTGTCACACTTGTGCTCATTTTCTGCTGAAAATTCTGAAACTGACTTCAAAATTTTTTAAGTAGGAACTTCTACACTATTTTGAAATACAAGTCGTTTATGTAAATATTTCTATGGCCTCTAAGGGAAGAAAAAAACTGTTAGAACTGTTAGAATCTCAATCAACCTATGTCTAGAATACAGAAAAACTATAAAATATGAGCCTGAGTCACTATTCAATTGAAGGACAAAAGTGACAATTATCAGGCAAGAGAAAATACGCTCTGGAGATCATATACTTAGGCAAAACTGAACATATGGCTGGTGATAAAAAGTGTTAATGGCGCTCCCAGAACATAAGCTCATCTCTTCCAAAACTTGATGCTATCGGCCGATACAATAAAAACTATTTAATGTTGTCTGTATAAAATAACAAAAAATCCACTAGAGAAATTGTTGAATATTTTCTTTTGCTGCATTTCCAGGAAATGTTTGTGAATATGTCACATTTCACTTGTATCATAGTGTTCAGATGTGGTTTGCACCTAGGATTAGATCTTTTAAAGGCAGCAAAACAAGAAAGTCAACACACTTTGATGTGATTATCAAAGGACACCATACATTTAAACAATGGTGCAGCAGTTACTCCTGGCATGCCTATAATAAGTTGGACGGTTGGGATGATAGAGCAACACACTGGATTTTCCTAAAGTAAGACAACATACACACTTATTTGTTAAGAACTAGTATTTTCTTTATTTTTTATTATGTTTAATTTCCTAATGTTTTCATGTTCATCATGTTAATCTATGAAGTTAAAATATTTATGACTTTTTTAACGTAATTAAAATGAGTTCACAAATGGCACTGAAATTACGGAATACACAAATACAGTGATGGTGCCTCTCAGTGAGAATTCTTTGTAAGCCTGTTAACCAAATTCCTTAAATACTTTGTCTTAGATACAAGTATGAGGAATGTGCTAAAGTACTCGGTGTGAGCGCCATTGCATGTTTCTGAAAACATACGTTCTCAGAAAATCCACCTAAGTGTAATCCTGAATGCCAGTGAAAAGACAGTAGATTTCAGGGGATAATTACCACTTCTACATTGCATAGCCCAAGAAAATTGCAGAATTATGCAGCAAGGATAAAATTATGAATCAGGGATAAAATGGGATGCAAAGCATTTTAGGGTCCACACCTCTGGTCAGAAAAGCTCATCAGTTACACCTGTGCCCTGCCAGCTAGACAAACCTATCATTTAAAAATTTTAGTTCATTATTTCGGTGCTGCACTACTTATGAAGACTTGTGCACTGCTTACTATTCCAATTTCTCTTTGCTCCCTTTCCACAACGGGTGTGGAGAGGTGGTTGTGTCATGAAAATAGGTTTATTTCTGATCATCGGCTATCAAAATTCACTCTTTATCATTACATGAATGTTGACATATAGACAAAATTATGTAGATTTGAAAATGCTGTGTGCAGGAATTTCCAATTCTTGCTGAAATCCTTCACTGTGTTACAATAATTTTCACTTACAGTTTACTTTTTTTATAACTGTGGGATTGCCAGAGATTAAGTCTGTTCATTAGTGGAATTCATCCATCCCTATAAGCCCACGAGCAAACATGCTTAAAAATACTGAGGTTTGATACAGTTCCAGAAAGCATGTGAGCACAAATCTCAGCTTGAAATAAAAGAGCAGTTTAGGCATTTGCAAATGTCTCAGAATCTTTACTCTGCAATTAAACTCCAAATAGTGACTGCTAAAATATTTTAATTACCATCCAAATGGTACCACCTAATGAACTGTTTGCTTTCCGTAACTAACTGGCTGACCAAGAAACGATGAGCAAATAATTTAGCTATCAAGTTTCAATAAGCTAAAGAGCAAATATAACTAAAGTGACAGGTAGAACATCATAACTGTTGTGAGAATTAAAATGTTAGAACATTTAGATCCCTAAGGTATGACTGGCAAGAGAATTTTTGAACATAATATGTTCAAAATGTTTACGAAGATGATGAAGGGACCGGAGCATTTGTTGTATGAGGAAAGACCAAGCGAACTTGACCTGTTCAGCCTGGAGGAGAGAAGACTGAGAGGAGATTTGATCAACATGTTCAAGTATCTGAGGGGTGAGTGTATGGAGGACGGGGCCAGGCTTTTCTCTGTGGTGGCTGTGACAGCATGAGGGGTAACGGGTGTAAGTTGAAACACAGGCAGTTCCGCCTCCATGTGAGGAAGAACTTCTTTCCTGTGAGGGTGACAGAGCCCTGGCACAGGCTGCCCAGAGAGGTTGTGGAGTCTCCTTCCCTCGAGATCTTCCAAACCTGCCTGGATGCCACCCTGTGCCATGTGCTCTAGGTGTCCCTGCTGGAGCAGGGGGGTTGGACTAGATGATCTCTGGAGGTCCCTTCCAACCTCCACCATTCTGTGATTCTGTAATATTTTAACCATGGAAAATGAAGGTAAATGTTTTCTTCTAACGATCCCTTGCAAAGGCAACAACCCTTTAGGGGTCAAGATTCAACATAACTGTTTATTAACCATTTAAAATCTGAAACTATTATTTAATCAGAATGCACACTCATCTTAATAGAGCCCGTTTGCTGCTGAGCTATAAAACTGTGGCTGACACAGCTTTAGTAAAGAGCATAGTGAAAATATCTGGTTAAAGACTGTAAAGACAGGAAATATGCAGGGAATGTTAACTTTGTTTCTGATCCGTTGGCTCCATTTTCTATCTGAAAATAGATCTGGCATTGCCTAACGTCTTTATTTTGTAAGGAATGTGCAAAATGATGGGAGCAGATGAAAGGTGTCATTCACCAGGTAAACATTCTGGGGTATTTTTCTGCTTCTGGAAGTTGGAAATAATCTCATATTTGGTAATGAAGTACTCATTACACTCTATGATACACAGGCACATACTTACAGCAGAGGGCTTTCTGCAGCCTTCGGAGCTTCATGGCAGTTCTGTAAGCCGAAAATCTGACATTGTTCAGGTCAGCTAAAAGGTGAAAATATTGACATTGAAATTAGCTTTACATCTTAAAAATAACCAGACTCAAGAATAGGCTGAACTAAACTGACCTATAACATTCTAATCACTGGCTCAAAAACAGAGAAAAAAAATATGTTAGACACTATGAGAAAATGCACTCGAACCTTAACAGTCATTCAAAAGAAAGGCAGCCACTTTAACAGAGGTAAGAATCTGAAACATCTCCCTCTTTTGGCCCATGTATCAGGTCAGGTTGCTTGCTAGGCAGTAGGGAAAAAAAAAAAAAAAAAAGCCCTACATGAGAAAAAAAGATGTAGGCAACTATAAACTACTAGCAAAAATCTAAAAAACAAAAAACAAAACTGTTCTACTTTTTACTTAGATTGATAGAGACCATGATCTGAGAGCCAAAATATTCCTGGCAAAAAGTCAGTTTATTCAGCTCGGTAAGTTTTCAGGCGCACCTTTGAAATCGCATAGAGCTGATAAGGTAGGGGAGCATGGAGAGGAATTCAAGCTGACAAGAAATAAAGGATATAATCAGATTTTTATTATAACATTCTCATGTGGCTGTCAAAGATCTGCAAAACTTCCCACTAAACAGAAAAAAATGTTTAACCACTGGTTCCAAAATCAGGAACCATTATAGAAAAAAACAGGGCACAGATCAAAACAACCCAATCAGAGCAGTTGCAGATAGAACTGAAACATTTGTGAGGCTAAGTAGGAGCTATGTAAACATCATTCAATATTCAATTACGAACTATGTAAACCATTATTGAATAATGTTATCTTGGGTGCAGGAAGCAAACACTACACCAAAAATGAAAAGAAAGATTAGATTTTGGTCAAAATGTGTTTTGGACCAAATATGTGCAGAAAAAATTGTTTGTATCTCTGTTCCATGTGGCTCTGAGGAAGCCCCGTTGCTCAAACACTGGCTCTGGCTTTGCTAAGAGCAGACTTGGACAGACCCAATTACATCAAGAATGAAGATAAATTTACTGCAAGTGAAGTCAAAGCTACTACGGCTAAACTCCTGCCAGTGGCTCCGCTACCTCCTTTCCAGCTGGATTCAGCCTCTCTGCCCTACAATTCCGATAAGCCACCACCCGTGTTGCCCAGAGCTGAACTCCGGAAGCCCATGGGAGCACCTAACTTTGGCAACAGGCCTGTGTGTGCGTGAGCACACCAGCAAACTGACCACCTACTGCTGCAAGGCTGCAGCTTTGTTCAAGGGACATGAACCATCACTGTTGCTGCTTCGAGAGCACGCGAACTGGTGCTGTTCCCGAATGAAGTAGCTGACACTTCGCAGAAACATAACCGGGCACTTGCCTGGGGGATTTGAGCCACGTCAGAGGGTGCTCCCGAGCGCTGCCGCGAGCCCCAGCCCTGCTGTTTAAAAGCCTCCTGGACAAGGTCCTGGGCTACCTGCTCCAGGTGACCCGCTTTGAGCAGGATTTGGAGCAGATGATCTCCAGAGGTGCCTGCTATGTCATGTCCAAGTGATTCCTGGGCACAGATACTCACAGGATGTGCTAGGGACCGTCCCAAGAGACAGTCTCTTGTACTACAGAAATGGGTTGTTCCGAGCCGGCTGGCTTCAATGTCCAGCAAAATCTGTGGATATGTTTAATTCACTAACACTGATGAAACCTATGGGACCGAGGGGGTTAGCAGTGGGAAAGAGCTTTGAAAATATCAGCTACTAGGGAAATACAGGAAGAACATCAAAAAATGATACTAGCTCAGAACAAAGGTCTGTTTTTTAATGATACTAGCTCAGAACAAAGGTCTGCTTAGTGTCTAGGAGCAGAGAAAGAATACTATGAAAATACTATGAAAAATAAGGCAAATAGAACAATTCCTTGCTGGCATATGCACTGAGTTTCTTTAAGGTTGTTTGTAATATAACATTGGGTATCCTAGTATCATTTACAATGTTGCCCAAGTTTGAGTAGCAGAGGGAATATAGGTTCAGCTCAACAAATATATTTAATTAAGCTCTTCTGAATGAATAGCCTGAGGTTCGATAATTCGATGGTCTTGTGCATCTAAATAAAAACTGAGAATGGTCTCTAAAACACCATGTCTTACAAGAGAAGTGGAAATAATTCAGTTTTTTAGGCAATTTCGTTTTCTTTTCACAGTTCCATATACCTTGCTAATAAGCAGGGCTGTTGCTGCCAGTCCCCCCCGTACCCCCCTCACAGTAACACTGACAGGTCGAGAAACGCTAATGGGGTGTGGAATAAACTGTGTGATTTCAATAAAGTCACTTAATCTGTCTTGAAGGCAAATTAATAAAGCAGCCCCTGGCCAATGCACTGTGACTTCATTTTCATTTGGTACCCTTGCTGTAACCCTGCACTTGTATTCTGGAAGAGAAAAAATATTTTTAACAATGTATTTGTTAAAGAAGTAAGACTCAGCAAAATTAACTGCACTGGAGATTTATATAGACTAGATTATGGATAGCATGGATAAAAATGAATAAGCATCCCCTAAAATGCCTTTCAGTATTCTGAAAAAGCTTTGCTATTTCAATTTTACATGTTAAGAAATATTAAGAAAGATGTACACATATTTCACTCCTTGATCAGGGCAGAAAGTGAATTCATGAAGGCACTTAATCTTAACTGTGCTACAGTTTATTTTACCACACATTCAATACACACTGAATTTCTTACCACACTTAATGACATGGCTTGTTGATCACCTGCAGCAAGACTGTGCAGACACCCCTTAGCAGCAACGTCCAGCTCTGGTTTTCCTGCCCTCATCTCCCAGGCGGAGATGCAGCAGCAGTGCCAGCTGCTGGCTCCAAGTGCTGAGGTCCAACACGGGCACCAGTGCCTGTTCTGCTGGAGCCAGCTGCTCCCTCTCTGCGCTTGCTCTGCCATCACCTCTGTGCTCCTAACGCAGTGTTAACTGGTGTTAACCAGGCAAGACGGTCACTTTCTACATTGCTGCCATTCCACGCAACATATTTACTTCGGGTTTTAGACTCAGCACTTTTGCCTTCTAATTTTCTTCTTTTCTTCTGTAATTCAGGATTCCTTTAGCCTTTTTCCTCCCCTCACTCTCCAGTTTGTGCTTGTCCCTTTCATCTACTCACTACCTATCTTCTTCATTTCTATTGTGTATCAAAATGGCACATTCTGGTTATTTTAAATTCAAAAGTCTCTCCAACTAATAAAAGATTTTATGGCTCTCAAAAGATTACTGTGTTAGTATTTTACAAGCAGACGATAGGAATTCAAATTCTGAGCTGAGCTGCAAAGAAGAGAAGTTGTTCCTTGGAGAGGGCACAGTAACAAATCCTCACAAAACAAGGGCAGCTACAACCACCAGTTAGGAGAGACCAGCACCAAAGGATTTCCATAACTAACTCCCCATTTCTACCTTATCCTGCCAGGGTTGGTTAGACATGTAGCTTGGAATTCCCTTGTCTCAGTAATTCCACCTCATCCCAATCTTTAATATTTTAGCTTTTTTTTTTCCTACTCCTTTGCAACTCCTCGTGTTGCTGGTGTTCATGCTAAACTACTGGTAGAAGCAATAGGTTATTCTGCAGCGGAAAGCGGGATGCCCTTCTGTTCTAATGGGGCTCGAAATATCTCTCTTGCTGGCACATGACTTCCCCTAAAAGAGCTCTGCCTAAGACAGAAAAGAGAAAAGATCAGGCTGGGTAACTCAGCTAGGTAAGCTGGTAGCATCAGGAGTGGTATCACCACTAAGAGCAACAGGGGAAATTGGCTGGAAGACAAACGTTACTGCTGGGAACACTGCTGGGAGGAAGGAAAGACCTTCCCAGAGCCTGTAAGAACTCAAGCAGTTCTTCCATTCCTGTAGTTTTGCCTTCTGGGTCCTGAGGGCAAAATCTGATGCTTTCTTCACTTCCAAAGAGCCCACTAAATAGTCAGGACCCACTAGGTGCTACCTGCAGAGCTTCTATAATCTCTGAGCAGGCAGGAAAGCTATGTATATATACACAGCATGCTCTTTTCCAGCCTTTCCCTCCCCCTCCCAAGAGGAATGCTCAGTCTCATCACTTGAAGGAGGTGATTAAAAGCCTGGGAAGCCCTTGAGGTATGAGACTTCTGCACACGATTTTAATGATATCCCACCCCATCCCTATTCCTCATTGCTCAGAAGTAACATTCAAACATAGATCAAAAAAATGTAAATGCTCGAGAGCACAAATTGCTTAGGTTCTCAACCATAGAGTGGAAAAGGTTACCTGGCCCCTGGAGAGGAGCACACTGAGGAAGAGAACGTACTGGAATACCTGTTATTAATATTTACATGCTGGAATAGGAAGAAATCATGGCTCTCTATTTCCTCAGCCAGGAATGAGCCCTCTGTTCAAGGGGACGCTTCTAGGGAAGCACCTCTAGGATTATGGTACAGAAGCACCGTAGGATAGACAGGGCAGATGGCTACGACTCGTCCCTACACAGCAGCAGATCCATGGAGCAGTTCCTGCTGCAGCAGGCACAGCAGTGAGATCTCTCCGTGATCTTTGCAGGTCCTACTTCAGATACGTCCTTTGCATCAGCCAGTCAAATGTCTTTATGAAAGGAATTCAGGGCACTAAGTCATAAAAAACTCCCCGAAACTAAGAAACATCCTTTTGGCTGCTTCTTGTTATAAACAGCGCTAGTGCCTCCATTTGCTTCATGGCAACTAAAGCAGAAGGGAGAAGTTTATCTAGAAAACGGATTTCTTCCATGTCCATCAGCCACCTGCAAACTAGTCAGCAAGGACGAGTGCCCTTGTTACACATACGACTTGAATGAAAGGAACTCCAAACTGTTAATAGGACAAATTAAAACCAGAACTATTACTGAAAGACAAGCAGACGACTGAACCATAACCTCTTCGGCACAATTCTGCATGCGTGAGAAGGCTCCCAAAACCCCGGGGTTGCCCTCTTCCTCAAGGGGACTGAGAGCGCACCAGCAATGCACTTTTCAGTGTGACATTTCCAGGGTATTTTA